AAACATCATTGTTCTTCTTTAGAATAGCTAGAACAAGGTGGTCATAATAGGGAATGCACAAAGGAATGTATAATACACAGAGAAATGTATATATATATATATATATATGGATAAAATGATTATATAGGGAACTTCCATACTGATACATCCTCACAAGCGGTAAACTGGAGAGTAATATGGACAATATGGGCTTGTCAACTGAGGCAGAACAAGCATGAACATGCATTGGCAGCAAATGTCAGTCAAAATAAACACAATTGATGTGTACTCTCTCCGTTCCTAAATATAAGTCTTTTTTAGAGATTTCACTATAGACTACATACGGAGCAAAATGAGTGAATATAAACTCTAAACTATGTCTATATACATCCATATGTAGTTTGTAGTGGAATATCTAAAAAGACTTACATTTAGGAACGTAGGGAGTATATGTTTGTACCTCCATACTGAGTGTTCCAGAACATGCAAGCAGATAGGATGATGAATCATATCCTCTGGTTTCCTGTAAACAAACATTGATGTTCATAAACCTGGAATTAATACCCAGGTTCTGACTGACATTTGTTCATAAACTGGAATTAATACACAGCAAGGAAATATGTGTTCACAAACCTGGTACCGGGCACAGCTAAAATACTGAACTTTGCAGAATCTTCAAGTTCTGACCTCCCTCTTGAGAACATCAACATTCTGGAATTAATACCTGCCCCAAGAGAAGGCTCTTAGGCACTGAATTTATTGTGACCGGAATTCTTGGTAACCTGTTTTGTTTCCCAATTCTTGGTCATGGTAACCAGAATTCTATTCAGTATCATAAAATGCCTTTCGAGAAACATCAACATTGTTTCTTCTTGAGAACAGCTAGAAAACAAGATTTTCATGATAGGGAAGGCACAAAGCAACGATATATGACGCAACTAATGCACGGAGAAATCTGAGGATAAAACGATTAGATAGGGAACTTGCACACTGCTACATTGCCAGATCATTACACCTGAATTTACAGACCAACCACTCCATTAAGATACAATTTGCCCATCTACTGGATTTTTCTGATTCAGCAAATAGGCAAATTACTAGCTGATACCTGCGCAGTGGCACGCCGCGCCTTGCTTATTGGCAGTGATATGTGTTGTTGTATAGCAAGTAAATATTCTTATGTTGATGATTTTTTTTTTCCGAAAAAGAGATTGGCATGATTTGTCCGGCATTCATTTTTTATGGGATGGTGATCAAAGGAAGGGAGAAAATATTGGTTGGCCGTTTTGATCAATGAGATAAATGTAAATTTTTATAGTTTTGGCTCTCTTCCCTTTAAACTTGGGCGGAGTGTATGCATGTTATATGAGACATATGTGGATCGAGTCCTTATACATGAGGTTTGATGTGTGGATCAAGCTCAAAACATGTGTTATCGATGCACACGTGTTACATATTCATGTGAAGGATGATGATACAATTTGTGTAGCTTGTGGCACAATGGGTTTCTTTTATATATGTATTGTTCGATCTCGAATGTTCTAGCCTAAGGGAAATGTTGCTAAAATAGGGATTCGTTGTGTCTGCGGCATTGCATTGTTTCTGTATATTGTTTTTTATGTGGACTAAAATATTCATAACCTTGGAGCTATACGGATGCTATGTGGACTTGAGGAAATAGAGTGCAATACATAAAGAAAAAAAGAAGCTTTTATTTCTTATGACGATAGAGTAAATGTTCTACAGTGTTCTGGTTTTCCCTCTGTGATAGTGTAGTAAATAACTTGACCGGATTATTGAACTTGGTTGTGTGCTGGTGTATGGCCAATATATGGATTGTAGGATCATTGGTAGCTGAGTGTTGCGAGCACATGTGATACAATCAAATATTTCGTTTGGGTACAGGTGATACAATCAAACCTTTATTGGGTTACATTGCATCACCTTGGGCAGTATATAAGTCAGGACTTCGAGAACATGTCAAGTTTATTTATTGATGTCATTGCGCCCTTGTGCATTTGGTAGGAGGTCGATGAGTTTAAATAAGGTTAGCTACACGCTGCTTGTGAAGTGTGCTGAACGGTATCTTTTGTCAAAACATGGATTAACAACAATCGTGGGAGTTCCACGTGATGAGGAATGAAGATGTGAAGCTTGCATGATGAAAAATATTGCCCAGATCTAAATGACATACATGTACATGAGAGTAGAGGGATGTACAACAGAAATCGATAAGAATAACAGACTGAAAAACCTTAACAAACTGACTGGCTAACAGTACTGTCAGTGCTACAACATGAAGGATCACTCCCATATTGTGCAGAAGTGTACACAAAGAGCACCATAGTATATGTATGTTCCTAAGAATATGAACATCCATGAGAAAGTAAGAAATTTGCATACATTAGGAGCTCGTTTCAGCATGAAATAGTTGACGTGTCGTCATATTTTCTCGGTAACAATTGCAGAGCATGATAAGAAGGATAAAACAATACTAATAGACCAAGTCTATACTTTGTGGGAACTTGAGGGACCAAAAACATACTTTTCTCCTTAAGTTATTCATTGAAAAAAAAGGAAAATAGCTGCAACCAAATGTCATTGAACTGATGGAGTGACATATGAGAACACCCCTCCCAACAGAACATTCTGACAAAGAGGATGTTCATTTTTCAGACTTTCTTGCAGAGCCCGTGTAAGCTCCCTATCTTCTCTAAATGATCATCAATACCTGGTTCATAAAAAAAAAGAGAATGACATAACATTAAAATGGTGCTTTCTATCAACTCTTCATTTTTTACAGCCTCCTTAACCTACAACTGCTATTCCAAGATAGGTTATTTAATGACTCATACCACCAGGCAGTAGAATATAAATTAGAGATTATCAGAACTGGTTTAGATTGGATAATACAAACCTAGTGTTTTCCTTCATTTGATCTTTCTCTGTAAAGAATGGTACAATAGTGCGACAACAATGAAATAATTAAATAAAGCAACATCAGGTGACTTTGTAGTTCGGACAATTCACATTATCATTTCAATTTGATTTCAATTTGTACTTTTTAGTTACTTTACTTCTCCCCAATAGAGCACCTAATATTCTGGCGCCATCATGAGTTTGCTTCTGATAAGAAACAAAGAGCTATGTACTCGAATTACTAAGAAATTGTGTATCTTCACCATCCGTATACGGATCCAGTGTGAGACCATCACCTAGCTACTACACGCATGCATCAAGCCCACACATCACACATGCAGCAGCAGCACGTAAACGCGACGCAACGGCCCGCGCAAGCAAGAAGCACGCCGCACACAGCAAATGCGCGGCAGCAGGGCGCACGGCAAGAGAGCAAGGAGAAGACAGTCGTGCGCTCACCGTCGTGCAGTTCAAGTGGAGGCGAATCGACAGGAAGCTGAAGAACTGTTTGTAAGGGTTTCCGCGCTGATATACCGAAGGCAACAGATCCCCACGGCGACCTCACGGGCCGGAAACGTCGGGGTGCCGAAGATAGGCGCAAGGTCGACGCGACGGCTGCGAGCTCGAGATGCATGCGGGCTGGGTGAGCTTAGGTGGAGAACACCACCTCATGGTCCCACGAAGGCGAGGACGGCGCGCCGCCGCGGCCGGAGTTCCGCATCCCGGACGGACACGACATCGGCTCTCCTGCATGCGCCATCGTCTCTAGATATGGGTCCGGTGCCGAGAGGCATGAGCCGGCGAGGTGGAGCAGGAGCGTGTCGCAGCTCTGCCCATGTTGTCAACGGCCGTGGCGTTCACCATATTCAGATCGAAGAGCATCGATGAGGAGGAGCCACAGTTGTCCTGGCAGTCCTCCTCGATGGTCGGGAAACAAAAGAGGACGCCGGTGGCTGGGATGGCAGCCCCGCCGCCGCTCCACGACTCATGTTGGTAGCCTCTGCCGCTGGCGCCTCGGAAGTGCCCTACGTACGCCATCGTCCATAGTTGCTGCATATGCCATAAGCTGGGTCACGCGGAGAAGAGATGGGAATACACCAATAGGGACGGCAGCGGGAGAAGAGCGGGAATCTCGGCTCTTGGATGGGGAGGGTTGTGAGGAGGCGTGGTACGCCACTCATGTGCCACCACGCGCATGCATCAGTCGCCGTCGCGCCACGAGCTCCGCCCGTCCGGGCACCGTCATGACCACGCGTGAGCTCTGCGGACGCACATGGTTCACGGTCGATCTGCGAGCCACCTGCACATATTGAGCCCCTTCATGGGCCATGGCCTCGTGCTCCCACCGTAGTGGTGTGCTTACCTTGTGACAACCATCGTCATGGCCATAGAGTGCGAGCCATGCTGCACGCTGCCAAGTCCTCGGGATTCAGCGGAAGGCGAGGCGTGCAGGCGCCTTCTTCCTCTCCCTGGACTGACGACCCACCACACCAGCGGGAGGAGCTGGAGAAGCACCGGCGGGCGTTGAAGCCACCAGCAGGAGCTCGGGGAGGCAGATGTTGCATCACGGGCCTCCAATGCCGTTGAGCTCCATGGCGGCGCGGCGCGTAGAGGGGCTGGGCGGGGAACGGAAGTGAGAAGGGGAGGAGGACATCGCACGCCTTATATAGACGGCCACGCACATCGATGCACCTACGAGAAGCAGCGATCTAAGCGGCGACCGCCTGAAAACAAATCAAAGCTGGAACGGCACCCCCCTTTGCTAAAGAAAAATCAAACTACGAAGGGTGAGTATTAAAAGGAGAGAAGGTAGCCAACCAGGAATTGCTCCCCACAAAAACTGCTAGGTCCACCCGGAATCATACACACTCAAATCCCCCAGTAATTGGCGTGTCAACCTCTGATTGGTCTGATTTTTACTGATTGGAAAAAAGTCAAAAAAAAACAGAAAAAAGAAACCTGGCTAGGTTTAGTATATTTAGAATACAGATGACAAGATACAAGCAAGACACACGGGCTACAATCTCTTTAGAGGATCCCTTATGTGCATAAGGGTGCCACATCAGGTCTAACCAATGAACATGCATACCATGTGCAGAGTGTTACTTTTGCTGGTTCAAAGCAGTAACCTTGGCAAAGAGCTCCTTCAAAACCGAGGGATAGGTCGAGACAACATAATCCCAGCCATCAGTTGCCATTACTGCTTGCAAAGACGAGGGGGTTTGGACTTGGATAAACTTGAAGCACGCCTCCTTCAATCCCTGGCAGTGGTGCTGCTCGGCTAGAGCAAGAGTGGACATCACCATCCTGACACATATGTGCTCAGATAACTGCTCCTCGCAGATGCACTTGAGACGTTGGACATCATATCTGTCAGCCGCTACCAGCAAGTTTTGAAGCCACTGCAGCCATATTACATTCTCTATTACGTCTTCCTCTTCTTCTTGTCCCTGTTCCCCAACTCGTGACATTTCATTCTCTGATGCTTCCACCTCTTGTCCGTTGTCCTCCTCCATAAAAGGAAACGAGTCTGTGTAGATAAAGCTAAGCAAAGCCCTGAACACGCTTGCTTCCATGTCTTTGATGTGTATGACACCGGTCTGAGCAGTTGTCTCCTTCATGGGGCCAAAGAGCTGTGCCATGAAGACTTTAGACCGGGCTGCAAGCACGCATCGGTGTGCAGCCAACTTGTCCCCGCCGACCTCGAATGTCACATCAGCACCCGCCTCAGTTTTGAAGAGGATGTTAAAATCACGGCAAATGTCAGGCAAGCGCGCCTTGGTAATGGTGGCAGCGGCATCATCATCCCTGGAGTTGGGGTTGCAGACCATGACGTCGCACCGGACGGTCAAACAATCATCCTTTAGATTTCTCTTCTAAAATCCTGCTCCATGCTCTGAGAATAAGGATCGAAGCTGCATGCTTCAGTTTGAGCAATGTAGACTGGATTCTGCAGCTCAACCTGATCGATGAGACTAAAAACGACCTTGGCTTCCACAGGCTGCTTCTTAGAATCGTCTTGGATACAGGAAAGACGGACATAAACGAAGTCGGCACAAGTGTGGTTTTCACCGTGGGGGCAGTAGAAGAGGAGCCAACAATGGCCTCCCACCATGAAAGGACGGGAGCTGATGCTCTTTTTGGTTCGCGAGTAGTCGTGGACCACAAGCAGATGGTACCCGCAGTCCGCGCTGGTTCGGACAGTCGACTGGGTGTCGGGCCACAGCTCGCCGTTGGCCACGACGGATACGCCGGCGAACGAAGACATGACCCGCGAGTCCACCGGAAATCTATCTACTCAGCCGCCGTCGACACTTGAAACTTTCAGAAATGGGATCGATGTGCTCGGGGGCTAACCTGGTCACGTCCCCTCGCTGCGTCGCGGACGGCGTTTCTCCCTGGGAACAGAGTTTGCGCCGCCGCCCGTGTCGCTCCTCGCCAGAAACAGAGGGAGTTTGCGCCGCCGGACGCTCCCCGCCGCCGCCCGCGTCGCTCCTCGCCGGAAAAAGAGGGAGTTTGCGCCGCCAGCTCTTCGGTGACTGCGGCCTGGGCCTGCTTAGATTTAGGGTTTACCCTCGGTCACCATGTGGATTGGGCTTTCGTTTTAAGGCCTTACAGCCCACGAGATGGATAGCCCATCATCGGTCGTACGTGTGAAACAGGTCGGGCTGAATTTTGCAGGAGTTGAGAAAAAAAAAACTTAATTTGTACTATTTTCTTTTCTTTCAACATTGTACATTGCACTAAAATGTAATTATGTGGATTCAAACA